GGGTAGAGTAAATGGTAGAGTACCATTTGGGAACTTGGTCGTCTGAGATGTTCCGTACAGTAGGAAGAGTTCCCCACACCGGTGGAATGAGAAACCCCGGGCTGTTTTCTTTGGGAAGAGAGAGAGACAGTAGAATGAATGGACAGAGACACGGTAGGACAGGCGCAGAGGGCGTCTACAGGAATCGTGTTCTGTCGGCGTGGTTTCTCTCTCTTCCCCGCGTGTGAAGAGAAAACATTAATGCAAAAAGGCAATTCGAAAGAAAAACAATAAAGTTACACCATTCTAGACTCTAGTCAGCGCTGACTTGTCTAGACTAACGGTGTAACTTGATTGAATAGGGAGCACGGAAAGATGCCACCGTCCGAACAAGGAAGCCGAACGACTTGATTGAGTCATCAACAGCAAGTTCTCCTGCAGGCCTCGGCGAAGCACATTGAATCGAGCAAGGAGCAGGCATACCGTTCCACATCCAGGCGCTACTTCGGTGCGAATACCCCAGCAATCAAATTCAAACAATTGCAACAGCACGGTGATTCGGGTTTCGGTATGAACAGGTGCAAAGCGTGGGGTTCAACGAGAAATTATCAACGCGAACATGATGCTGGTGCAAGGGAGAGGGCTCCAGCAGGGGGTCGCCATCGAAATAGGAGCCCTGCACTCGCCGGTTTCACGTGACTGATGTACTTTTGTTTCACGTTGTGCTCGTTCCGATACCATTTTTCGCAGAAGGCTATGGTTGTACAAGTTTGTGGATATTTGGGGGAGTATACCAGTCCAGTAAATGCGCTGCGTTAGAGTGACATTACCAGCTAGTGCGTCGTTTCCACATCAAGACCCATGTCTGCTCACTACCTACATAGAACGTGCCTGTAGATAGATGCGGACACCTTCCGTTGGCAAGACTGTCTCGACAAAAGGTGTGTGCAAGAATCAAGAGACGAACAGAATGACCCCAGACCAGACAAAGAGAGCACAAGCATGAACGACCAGTAGAAATGAGACCCCCGAAGAAAGGGCTCAGGTTGATACTCGCATTGTTTGGTGCAAGAGCACTCCTCCTTGCGAACGCCAACCAGGGCATCCCGCAAAAAAAGAGGGAAAAAACCCCAGGTTCGGCACGAGGGGTGGGATGGGTTCAGAAAATGAAAAAAGCTTCGCCGGGCAACCACCACCGGTGCAGCCGTCGTTTCAGTTCGGGAACATTCAAAACGCGAAGTTTCTGCCTCTGATGCTTTTGCTTGTTGGTTTTCCTGTTTGTCTGATCGCGACCCGTTAGGAATGTTTTGTGCTGTCAGCTGCGGTGTCAAGCCATCGGTGCACTTACGCATGGTCGACAGTATGTACATCTGGGCCTCAGGACTGTTCGGATGGCTTCTCATTGAGTCGGATGCTCCCGCACGTTAAATGACCTTGGCATGGCCGAATTGTTGTAGACAACATTTAACAAGGTTTTCGTGTGATTGAGAGCGAAGTTTCTGATTGAGAGCGAGATTGCGCGATGCGCTGTAGCTGGACTACCGCTGAGAGGTGGAGCTTGCTGCGTGACTTGAATTGAAGGCCTAGCCCGTAGCTACAAGCCGATACCCTGGTCATCCTGTGGGCGTCTCTCGTTGTGGAGCTACAGCAGGGAGCAGAATCTACAGCAGAGCTCACCGCCCGCGATCGAATCGCCCTGAAACAGTTTGAGGCAGGAATAGCCAATCTTCACCTGGTGTTCACACAAAATACTGCTTGAAGCGCGTTCCACAACCTGGAATAGAAAGTGAGAGCAAAACTTGCTTCTTGCAAGAAGAACTCGCTCACATACGCCGGGGTGCGAACCCAGACCCTGGGTGCTAGAACGTTATGAGGATAACAATCAGAGTACCGGGGAAAGGGAAAACAGAGTCGAAGTAGAAAAATGGAAGAAACAGGCGGAAACAGGCCACACCCAAAAACAAAAACAAATCTTAGAGGGAGAGAGAAGGGCGTTGGCGGTTGGAGTTATGTTATTCGCCGCCTTGGGGTTGCACCGTTCGAGCTAATCCTCACATGCCCATCCAAAAAACATTACTCGTGTGGCTGATTAGGGCCGCTCCACCGGAACAACAAATTAGGCAGACAAAAAAAGTCGATTGGTGGTAGACCATTCAAGATGGACAGCAGCACAGAGTGGATGACGCCTGCCTTCGGTAGACTTACGTTCGTTTCGCGGGAGAGACACCTACAGCGTAGTGGACTTACTTGCGGTTCGCGGGAAGTTTTTTGGGAGGGTGGTTGTTGATGTTACAGGCTGACGATGGTGTGGGGGTGGGCAATGGGAAGGTGGGTGTGGAGTGTGGAGCCGGAAGTTGTTGTTGTTGTTTCTCACAGTAGCTCTGTGTGTGTTTTAGTCCAATTTATTATGGCGACAGTCCCCCCATTTTTCGTGGTGAGACGTGTACTACATACACTTTTCAGCGTATGTAGAGTACTACACTTTTCAGTGTATTTTTTCGTACAACTACAACCATCCAGGGTCACACAAGAGGGGGTAAACACCAGGGCTTTTTTCTTCATTTTATTTCTTTTCATGCCCCACCTTCCTCCTGCGGTGCGTGCTGAATTTTCCTTTTATCGCGAGAAGGGTCCAGCCATCCCTTTCCCTCGTCAACGGTGCTGACGTCGAAGTTTGGTACTCACGAGAGCTTGTCAGCTATATTTCGCTTTCACATTTCGTGATTTTTCACCCCATGGGGATTCGAACTCACGACCTCTGCGACTAGCGGATTTCGAGGATTCCATTAGATAGACCACTGGGGCGACCGGTCTCTTTAGTCCACAAGAAATGGGGAGCCCGTGGTCTCATAACCCGGCACATGCGACGCCGCGGGGAAACAATGATAGATATACTTGTAGCAATGCCAAGTGGTTGGTGCTGGATGTTCCCATGAAATGAGGTAGAGCGGAATACCGGGTGACATGTGTGGTACGTAGAATGGATTCCAGGGATGTACAAGGTACCCCTGTTGTATGCGGCGTCGCCCCCTCAACGGGGCTTGTGTGTGTATGTGGATGCAACTAATCACAACAAGTTTTTCTCCTCGGCGCAAGCCCGCCGAGTTGCTGATACCCTATTCAACACACGTCTTGCGACGAGCTACCCCCAGTTCGGATTATCCTAACACGCTCGCGTGTTATATCATACGGGATCCCGAGGTGAGGCTAGCTACAAAAGGGTTCGGCCAGAGAACAGTGACACGGAAATCATGGAGCAGCAGCTGGATTAGCTCCAGCTCTCGGACGAGCAGCGAAACGTGATCGACGCTCTTATCAAGGAGCAGGTCAAGATCAAAGTAGAAGAAGCAGCAGCAGCAGAGCGCCCCGCAACACAGAGCGAGGGCATGCCTTCCGAAGGAGGCGGCACCCGGCTGGAGAGGCCGGCTGGCTCGGAGTCAAGCCCGCGACCCGAAGACCAGCCCCGATCGCCGGCGGACGTCAGCCTCATCGACACCCTCGCGCGGGCCTTGCAGAGGGTCAAGATAAAACCGGAGGAGGAACACAGGGAAGTCCCAACCCCTAAAGAAACAATATGTATTAGCCCAGGTATCAAAATCCCTGCATTCACCGGGAAGTTTAGCCCCGAGGACGATGTACAGACGGCGGTCATGGTTTTCACCAGTCGATTTCGATCTTTTTTGGAGCAGGAGCGTTGCCTTGGGGCAATAGAATCGAAGAAAACAATTCGTGTAGGGAAGACGGATGCGAATATCTCGGCATTGAGGGTGGAGCATGGGACGGAAGCTGTAGATCGGGCGGTTAAGGCTTGGCATAATTATATCCAAGGTACAAGTACCGGCAATAGTCCCTGCAATCCTAGCTAGTGGTTGCCCCACTGAATCGTGGGATNCATGGTTTTCACCAGTCGATTTCGATCTTTTTTGGAGCAGGAGCGTTGCCTTGGGGCAATAGAATCGAAGAAAACAATTCGTGTAGGGAAGACGGATGCGAATATCTCGGCATTGAGGGTGGAGCATGGGACGGAAGCTGTAGATCGGGCGGTTAAGGCTTGGCATAATTATATCCAAGGTACAAGTACCGGCAATAGTCCCTGCAATCCTAGCTAGTGGTTGCCCCACTGAATCGTGGGATCAATTTCTCAACTTTTACCGAGTGCACGCAGAAACGGACAAGTTGGAGTGGCAGGGGCAGTGGTACTCGTTGAAGCAGCAAGTAGGGGAGGAGCCCCGGCGCTATCTCACAAGAGCATCAGTACTTCGCCAGAAACTAGAAGCGTACGGTTGGGTGCAATCCGATCATGATGCTAACGTCCACTATGTACGCAACCTTCTGCCCGATTTCAATTTGCAGAGGACCGTTTTGTTGGCGCATTCGGAGGTCAAGACGGAATTGGTAGGGAAGGTGATTCTGACTGCCTGGGCGGAGACGGAGGCCGCTACGAAGAGGGCGTCGGAGAGCGTTGGGGCGTATGCCCTCAACACTGGCGGTGATAACCGTGGCGGCGGGGGCGAGAACATGGGGGATAGGGGGAAGACGAGAGGACAACGGAGGACGGCAGCGCGGCAACAGTAGCAACAACCGCAGCAGCCACAGCAGCAGCATCAGCCGTACTTCAACCAGCAGCAACAGGTATACCCGCCGCCGTACCCGCCTGAGATAAAATATTGTGACCTCCACAACTCCTTGTCTCACAGCAACGAGGAATGTCGCTTGCAGCCGGGTTGGGGAGGTCCCTCGGGCGGCCAAGGTGCAAGCTACGGCGGAAGGCACGGGCCCCAGCATGGGGGCCGGGGTTATCTGGAGGAGGACGTCATCAGCAGCAGCCGGCAGGAGGAAGATTCGGGGGGCGTGGCGCCGCTTCTGGTGGGAGGGGCAGGGGCCCTTTTTACCAGGGACCGCCGGGCAGCAACCTCCCCGCCTACCCTGTACCGCAGCGGGGCATCGACTACAGCGCCTACCCCCCCCACATGTACCGTCCGCAGGGAAATGAACCTCCCATCCACCCGAATGACCCTCGCAAGCGATGTGCGGTGAACTCGGCCACAACCATCTGTTCTGTCCTTCGCGTATTGATGTCGGAAGGCCAGCTGGCATGCCGGCCGCCAACGCGCCGCCTAGGCCCCCACCGCCCCGGCAGCCGGCCGGTGGCTACAGCCAGCGGCCGCCGTGGGCCCACTCGTACGGGCAGGCCAACACCGCGCAGCAGTACGGCGGAGAGCGGGTAGAGCCAAGAGCAGCAGGAGCAACGGTGGCGACGACGGCAGCACCATCTACGGAGGGGCATGCAGTGACGCACGTGACCGGTGTTTATCAACAACCGGTGACGCACGCGAGCGGTGTGTACGAATACCCACCCCAACAGCA